CGAGGCCCCAGGCCTGCGCAAGAGGGAGCGTGGTTGGTTGCTGGGTTTCCGTGGTTCTCTCTGGCCCTGTGCCGCTCACTGTGGCGGTTCCGTGAGTGCTCCCGTGCTGCCGCTGCTTCTCCGCTGCTGCTGCGTGTTCCCCCCCTCGTGTGCCGCCTCTGGTGCTCTGCCCTTGGTGTGCCTGTGCCGCTGCTGGTGGCGGTGGTCGGGTGGGCGCTCTGCCTGGCTGTGGGCCGTCGGCAGGTCTCGTGGGGGGTTGGCGGTGTCGCGCTGGGGGTCGTTCGCGCGCCAGGGGAGCCAGCGGCTGTGGAGTGGAGCGCCCTGCCGCTCCTCCTGCCGCCCTGCTTGCTTTTCCTGTGCTCCCGCTCTCTCGCGGCGCTCCCTGTCTGCGGTCTCTTGCGTGCGCCCCGCCTGCCGGCACGGACAGGGTTGACCAATGGAGCGAAACAGCTTTTTTTTGTGCATCCTCGCCTTGCTCTGGTCTGGGTACGTTCCACCTTCTCCTCCTCCTGACCGTCGTCGTCGTTTTCGCCGTCTTCGTCCTCCTTCCCTCCTCCTCCGTCGGCCTTGAGGCAGATCTCCTCTATCTTCAGCGAGGTGCCGAACGGCGGCTCTGGACGAACACCGCCGGGGGAGTCGTCGGCCGCCGCCGCCGCCGCCGCCGCCGCCGCCGCCGTCGTCGTCGTCGTCGTCGTCGTCGTCGTCGTCGTCGTCGTCGTCGTCGTCGTCGTCGTCGCCATCGCAATCGCCATCGTCATCGTCGTCGCCGTCGCAGTCGCCATCGTCGTCGCTGTCGCCGTCGCCGCACGCGCTTGGGATTTTTGGAGCTCCTGGAGGCTTTTGCGTACGATTTGGGATTCGTGGGTGCCTCTGGAGTATCGGGGCGAGGAGGCGGAGCATCCACTGGTCGAGATCCCTGCGAATCTCTAACATCGACATCTTGGTGCGTGGGGGAGGCCGAGGTTTGGAATGGGCTGTTTACTATGTGTTCGAGGCTTGGAATTGGAACTGTTCTAGGTGTGTTTTTCTCCTCTGTTTTCCGTTTCTTCTCCTTGCGGATTCCGGTATAATCCTTCTTTCTTCCATGAAGCTAGAAAGAGGTACGGAATGAAGGAGGAAGGGAGGTAGGGAGGAGGGAGGAGGGAGGGGGAGGGAGTGATAAGAGACTCCCGCTTCCTCATGGGGTAGGATGGTGTTGGCAGCTGGCGCAGCCGCGTGTTGGTGCTTGGGGTTGGTTCTGGCAGGCCCCCCCCCGCTCTGCTTGCCCCTCTCCTTGGTCGCTGCTGCTTGCAGATCGCTTCGTTTGCCAAACCTCTCTTTCGACAGTGCGCCAGAGGCGCAGAGGTATCGCCCAGAGCAGCCTGCCGCTGGTGTCCTTCAAACAGGGGAGAGCCGAGCGGGTGGTTTTGAGGGATGTGCCGATCCACTCTTCCTTCGACCGTCAGCTAACTCCTGATGAGCGCCGCCGCCACTCCTTCTTCCTCCCCTCGTCCTCCTCCTCCTCCTCCTCCTCCTCCTCCTCCTCCCCTTCCTCCTCCTCCTCCTCCTCCACCTCCTTCCCTTTCCCTCCTCCCCTCTCTCCTTCTTCTTGCTCCTCGTCCCCCTTCCCCTCGCTCTTCCTCTCCCCTTCCCCCCTTCTCTTCCCCCTCGTTCCGTCCGCACGTGCCCTCGTGCGCCCGCGCGAGGAGCGAGGCGGAGCCCGCTGGCCCACGTCGCCGGCGTCGGCGAAGGACACCCTTGTTCCGTTGCAGTCCTCCTCGTCGTCCTCGTTTTCCTTCTCCTCCCTCCTTGCCGTGCTCATCATGCTCCCCGTTCCCCCTCGTTTCCTTTCTTCCCTGCCCTGCTTCACCTCTTCTTCCTGCCCCTCCTCATTCCTGTGGTGGGCCGTCATTCAGGGCTGCTGTGAAACAGAGGTGTGATTTTGTAATTCATGCTGTGTTTATGCGCAGCCACCAAGAGGATGAAATCAATGGGGCAGGAACTTCCCAGCAGTTGCGGCAGATTGCTGGACGTGTGCGCCGATGCGTTCGCTGGCGAAGCTGCCGCCGCGGTCTTGCGTAAGGCCACAGGCAAGCCTGAGATCGAACGGTTTCATGCCGCGGCTCACATTGTGAGGCGTCGCGCGGTCAGGGCCAACCTGGACTGTTTGGCTCTCGATCCCATCAAGTCTGAGTACGAGCCCAAGCCTCTGCGGACGTCTAGGCAGGCCCAGTTGACTGCCTCATCGCACCACCATTTCGAGAGAGTGGGTGCGGGGTGGCGTTGCGGGCTCTGTGATTGTACGGCGGTGCACGCGGACTTAGAATGGCTCGCGATCTCAGCATGCAGGCCCAGGAAGTTTGCACACGCAGGATCGGTGTGCGTGCATCGGGGAGGGTCGTGAGCGTCGTCGTCGTCGGGCCTCAGTGTGAAAGGTACGGCACCGCACCCGCCACACACGCACCTGTGGTTATTGTAGTAGCCTCAGGGCCACGGCACTGGCTGTTAAGTGCGAGCCTCGGACTGCTAAGGGGGAGCAGAATCTGCGAATCATTTCTCGGGGCTTGTGGCCCCACCCTTCGGGCATGCCCAAGAGAGTGCGAGAAGCTCTTCATTGGTGGGATGCCCAGAGAGCTGTTGCAGCTGCAGCTAGCAGTGTGTCCAGTGCAAATGTTGTAGCAGAGCGTAGCTTTCTCGTACAATGTACGTCTCAAGCAATTATCTCTAGCAATTCCCCATTCCTCGTCGTCGTGTTTGTCGTCTTTCTTCTGCTCGTCCGTTTTGTCTCCCTCCGGGGGGCAGGACCATGACGAAGACGATCAAGAGAGGGGATGGGGGGGATAAGGATATTCCAGGGATATTCCAGAGGAGGGACGTCGAAGGTCCCGCATTGGCTCGCATTACTGTTGGAATCGGCTGTGCATCGCATCTCTCACAGCTTTCGGAGGCCCCGACGGGTGGGGGTACTTGCCCGACAAAATTCGTGCCAGATTCTGCTTCCCCTTGGGGGTGAGCTTGCAAACTTTCAAAAGCTGTCGGGGTTCGGTGGTGCAACTAAAACCACAGGTGCTACAACATGTAAGACAGTACTTACTCCAGTACTGCAGGGAATGAGACGGATGGAGCACTTTGCCACCTATGTCACACCTCCCACGGGTAGGTTCGAATTCCTGAAAACCCCTCGGGGCGCAGGGAGTCTCACACGCCTGGACAATCGAATCCTGATTCGACAAACTCGAGCACTTAGCGCAATAGAACTTCGCACCCACTCGACACCACCGATGTTCAGAGGCCCTGAGCTCTCTCGCCAACCTCGGGAGCGGTTTTTGGGACTCAACCGTCAGGCGCTCGTGGGTCCACGGGTCCGCAACTATGGACAATCCCAGGGCCCTTCTCGCGCGCCGACGGATCAAAAACGACTCCGCGTCCCTACGGTCGGTCGGAGGGTCAGACATCACGAATTCCGACCAAGCCTTTTCTGCCATCGCCCTTGCCAGCGCATCGGCACATTCATTGCCGAAGTGCAGGAACGACTGATCACCGTGGCGTGTGACCTCCTCTTGGTGGGAGGCCACCCATTTGAGCACCACGTCCTCGGGCTCTCTGGCGCGAAGAGCTGCGGCAATCCTGGCCCATAGGTCTGCGTTACACCCCCTCTCCAGGGCCTCAAAACCAACGGAGCGACCTTTGGCCCAGGACTTCAACAAGGGCTGATGATCTGTGACGAAACACAGTCGGCCTGGGATTTCCTCGACCGCGATCGCGAACGCGGTGATCTCCGCGCGAGGAACACTCTGGCGCTTTCCAGGAAGGGTAGCGCCGACACCCCAGAGCGACTTCACACACCTGGCCGTCTGGGGCCAGCGCAACTACTCCAGAACCAACCCGTCGACGCCGAGGGTCATCAGAGAACCTCCCACCCGAACCGTCCCCGAACGCGGTAGCGAAACCTTCGGCGTCTCTGGGGATGTCCTGAATCGAGCCGTATCGAAACACTAGGGGGGGCCCGTCAGAAAAGGTAGGGACAGTTTCAGCCCGACCAGGGACCCCTCGGAGCCAGAAACTTGGCGAACTCTCGTGATTCGCTCTAGCCTGGGGAATCAACGAATCAGATTTCGTGAAATCAGGATGGCCAACGTTGGCCTCACATTCCCAAATACGGTGAAACACACTCTCAGGCGCCTGTTGGCACCTCGGGCAGAGACGGCTAGGGATATTATACCCCGCCTGTTGCTACTTCTCACGGGGCCACTGGCCCCCTGTCGTCACCACCACGTTCAGCGCCCAGTCGTCGGAGCCGTCGTCACCCCTGAGCCTGCGCAGCTCCCTGGACACTTGGTACGTGTCCGCCCCGTCGCACAGGTCACTGCCGTTCTCATGGCTCGAAGCCATACTCCATAGTTGTCTATCTATGGTGTCCTCTATGTCAATCAAGATGTCCTTGAAGTCGCTGTGAAAATGATCGTACGCACCGGCTGCGTGCGAAGGAATAGTCCATGTTGCCATTGCTGACTCCCATTGCATCGTTGAATGTGGGGCCCATCCTATATCCATCAAAGTTGCTATCGTAGCGCCAATTGGACCCCTCACTAATCGCCATCTGCGTGATCCTGCCAGCAGTAGCCGCCTGCGGATACTGACCCAAGCCGTGGCCACACGCGCATGCAGTTCAGGCTGTTCGCGCCACATCTTCAGCCACATGTGGAAGTGCTCGGGCCTCACCGACTTGGCTGGATCCTTTTTGCCGTAAACCACCGCCAATGACGTCGTCAAGCAGCGTCCAGGTCCTGCACCTACCGAACACTGAGCCGCTTGTCTCCTCAACTCTGTCATAACGTGTCCTGCCACCCCAAACGCCTGATGCGCGTATGTTTCCTGTGGTCGTGAGCCCGCAGTCCATAAAGCCGTCGTAATTCCTCGTAACTTGGCGTGTCTTCTGATTCTCTCGATCGCCCACGTTCTTTTAGCTGCTGTCTTTCTCCTCTCATTAGCTTTAATGCAGGTCCGACGGCGCCCTGCGCTGGTATCCATGCCCAGGTCCACCGCCTCCTGTGCAGGAGTGGCTGGAACTCCTCGTCGTCGTAGACCCGCTGTAACATCACTAAACATCCCATTGTCCGAAGCAACCACCGTCGTCTTCTCACTGATGACTAACCCCGCTTGCTGTAGCTGTTCGCATACCGTGGCGCCTGCTGCGATCGTTATGGGGGTAGTCTGCTTCGCCGTACCTTCCACGCGAATAGCCCTGTCGTCTACAAACGTTCTAAGAAGAATCTGCATGCCGTACTGCTGATGAGCCCTCTCCGTGATCGGGCCTCGGAGAGCTTTTGCCATTCTACCTCCGTTGAGAGAACCCGCCACGATGCCACGTTGCGCCTATATTCTGTGGGATACCCAACTGCGATCTTTCAGCACCCTAGGCGCGAGGCATATCTGTAGCTCCATAAGCAATACCATGGCGGGGAATCCTTGTGTAAGGGCCGCCGCACACAACTTTGTGATGTGTAGACTGTCGTAGAATTTCTCTATGTCCAACAATGCTGTAGCTGAAGATATGCGAAGCTCCCGTGCTGACTCGTCTAACAGCCCTCGGACCAACGCAGCTTGCAATGCGGAGGACCCGCGGACCGCTGTATCCCAATGCTCGTCCGCTTCGGGGGTCCATTGCGAAGTTGCAGCGCTGCGTTTCTTAGCCCAGAGCTTGACCAACAACGTAGCAGTCCCAATACTCTATCTCCACCTCTCGGCTTTGGGGCGATCGCTCCAATGACGAGTTTGACCTGTGGGGCCACATACCTGCCTCCTCTATCTCATTGAGCAACCGCCCCAACTGTTGAACTCCTGCTCGTGGTAGTCGCTGCACCTCCACTGGCCCCATTACGTATATGCCCTTCGACTTCTTCGCAATCATGCTGGCCGTCGCCTCGTATATCTGCTCTGTAGTGATCAGCTCGCGATCCTGCTGCAGGGCTCTCTGCCGTACGTATCTCAGCCCATAGTCTATCTTATCAGCATTGAAGTTGTCGCTGCTCCACGCCTTCTGCCATTTGTCCGCTCGGTGGTCCATCATCTCAGTGGGTGAGGCGAATACGCGGTCCGTGCTAATGATCTCGTCGGCCTTGTCGAGCACTCCTCGCGTATACCTGTGGATTACTCCTGGAGTAGCCTTGCACATGCGGACCACCCACTGCTGGAAACTCTTATTCGCCTTCGATAGGGATCGACCACTCGCTCTGTGGAGAAACTGATTTGTCATATGCTGCATGTCCGTAAAGCCCGCGTTGTCCAAATCTGAAATCATGGTGATCATGCCTAACCAGCGCTTGAACTTGCCCTCGTTGTGGAAAATCGTATACATCTCCGTAACGTTATTAATGCTTATCAGGTCTTCGATCTTGCTGAAGACCATTTGTAAATCGGATGTTCGTGGAGACTGCCGTAATACCCCCGCTCGCTTGACTAGGGTACTGCGTATACTCCACCACTCTGTCACTGGATCTCGCAAGTGAGGGCGATCGGGGGTCGCGCGCGTCCGCTCCCACCTGAACGCGTAGCCCTTGGCTCTGCCCCTGACCTTGTCGGCCTCCTGCTGCTCGAGCTTGTGCGTGATGATGGTGGCCTCCTCTAGCGTCGTCACCCAGTTCGCGTAGCTGGATGCCAGCCTGTCCTTGGCTGGTATGTCCCTGTCCTGGAGGAAGTGCGGGAAGTGCTCCCGCTTTTCCTCCAGGCATGGTGCCTGGGTCTTCTCTAGCATCCGCGCCTGCTCCCAGACCTCGTGAACAATGTTGAAGGGGGCGCTCTCCCCCCCGATGTCTCCTCGAAAGCCTCGTGCAAATCATCGTCCAGATGCTGTTGTCTGCGTACTCGAGCTTCCGCTAACTTACTCTGCCTCTTGCTCTCTGGGTCGGGCGATATGGTGGGTCTCTTCACCGTGGGAAGCTCCTTCGCAATATCCAACGCTCTGTGGCACCACCCCATCTTCGCGTACTTCACCTCCAGAACCAGACCTGCGCGCGTCTTCCAGGGTACCCCGGGCACTACTGATAGCTTCACGGCTGAAGAGACCCCGCGCTTCGCGATCACGTAGTCGATGAGCGTGCCGCGACCCCTGTTGCACGTGAATTCGCCGTTGGATGGAGTGATGACTTGCGCATCCAGCTTCTCCAGCCAGGCTGTCTTTGCCCACTCAGATGGATGCATGTTCCAGTCGCCCATCACCAACCAGGGCTCCTTAACCATGCTAAGGAATGCCGCCAGTCTGACCAGGGTCTTCTCATTCGGGCCTCGAAACTTGTGCCCAGGGAGAAGGTGGCACACCGCCACTACTATGTTGCCCATGCGAGTGTGCCATAGCAGAGGGGCAAATCCTTGGAAACAGCCGCGCCCTGTGCGAACTCGCTCTGACTCTCGTATGTGTTCAAGGGAAGTGGATGCCATTCGCTTCTTAGTAATGATCCACGCCCCACCTGAAGTGCCCTCGCTTGACCTCCTCGTCATGGTAGCCTCTGTGGCTGTGAGCTTCCAGCCGTCGCGCCCCAAGTCTGACCTCGCCTCCGGAAGACGGTGTCCTCTCTGATGAGTCTCCGTGAACCCAATGGTCTCATACTGCTTTGCCTGCTCGCGCATGAAGGACCTAGCCACTGGCCCCCGCTCTGAAATGTTACTGAAGAATAGCTTTGGACTCGACTTGGCCGTACTCGATGCTGTAAGTGATGTGTCTCCACCGAAGCTGTTACCCACGCTGCGCAGCAGCGCCAGAACCTGAAGCAGACGATGAAGCACCTTTGCCGCAAGCCTTGGCATTGTTCGCGATCCGTTTGCGCTCTGACTCCAATGCCGCTGCCCTGTCCGCTTCTGCTGCCGCCAGCACCTCGGGGGAGTCCTCGTTCGACTGCTCGGCGCGCTTCGCCTCCCCTCGCTGGTCCTCGGTCGTTGGGTCGAGCTCCGTTGTGCCACCTGTACCCACTGCCGATTGTCCCTGTTCGCCCGTGCGCTGTCTCTTAGTTGCGCCCGAGCGGATGTCCTTGACCTTTGTGAACTGCTCATGTACTGCCTGCTGAATAGCCGCCATCTGATCGCACTTCTCCTTGATCGTGGCCCCCAGGGCCCGTAGGACCCGCTGCTCTTCTTCGTCGAAAGCGCCGATGTCCTGGAAGAGCGTGTCGTCCACCGCGAAGACCGCGCGCTTCCCGTCCGACGTGTAGCCCTGCGGAACATGCTGGATGTTGGCCTCCGCCGCAACACGTGCCACCGCGTCCGCGTGCTCCTTGTTGGCTCTGGCGTGCTCCAATGCCGCGCACTTCGTGGGGTCCCTGGCGACCTCCAGCTTGTGCTCCGCCTCCTACTCTGCCTTGGAAGCTCTCTCGAGAGCGTCCGCCTTCCACTTGAGTTCCTTCGCGGGCCTCGTGTAGAACTCCTGGGGAGACACCTGCACCACCTGGCTCTCCTTGTACCTCTCCTGCGCCTGATGTAACGTGTTGACCTCCTTGGTGAACTGCGGAAGAGAGGCGAGCTGCTCGAGAAGTGCTGCAGGATCGACCTTCGTGGGCCCCGTGGTCGTCTCCGTCTCTCGGTAATGATACCACGGACTCTGCCTCTTCGAGCGCCACGGAGGTGATCTCTGGTATAAGTCCATCGAAGCCCCGCACTTCGCACATTTGCCATCGTTTCTCTGGTTGCGGAAATTGAACGCCCAATTGCCGCACGAGCAAACCGTGAAATCGCTCGCCATCTTCGTGTGGGAGGAATGGTTGCAGGAGCGGGACGGGCACCCGTTCCTGAAACTGTGGGGCCGCTGCTCCCCAGTGCCAGCTCAAAGACTTGAGCCACAATGGATACGGATGAGGGGGAAAAGGAGGAGGGGAGGAGGAGGAGGAGGAGGAGGAGGAGGAGGAGGAGGAGGAGGAGAAGGAGGAGGAGGAGGAGGAGAGAAGGAGGAGGAGGAGGAGGGAAAGAGGAGGAGGAGGGAAACAGGAGGAGGAGGAGGAGGAGGAGGGGAGGAGGAGGAGGAGGAGGAGGGAAGGAGGAGGAGGGAAGGGGGAGGAGGGGGAGGAGGAGGAGGAGGAGGAGGAGGAGGAGAAGGAGAAAAACGAGAAAAAGGAAGGGGTGGGAGCGCTCGGGAGCAATTGGGAGTGCCTGGGAGCGCCTGGGAGCGCTTGCGAAAGCTTGGGAACGCCTGGGACCGCCTGGGACCGCTTGGGCGCGCCTGGAGCGCCTGGGAGCGCCTGGAGAGCTTCGGAACGCTTGCGAGAAGGCGCCAGGAGCGTATGGGAACGCTTGGGAACATTTGGAAGCACATAGGACGGAGCGCCTGGAAGCGCCTGGGAGCGCCTGGGCAGCCTGCAGCCTGGGCAGCCTGGCGCCGCGCAGCCTGGCGCGCGGCGGCGCCGGCCACGAGCTCTACGCGGCCGCCCGCCCCATGGGGGGCATCCATCATCGCGGCCGCCGATCGACAAGCGCCGCGCTGCGACGCTGCGCTATGGGCGGCCGCGTCCAAGAGCAGCTGCGTCGGCTGCCTCGCGCCCTCCAGCAGCGGGCGGAGCAGGCGCGCCTCGGGATTGGCGCCGCCCTGTTCGCTAGCTGGCATCGTGGGTGAGTCGGGCGGGTTTTGGCGCAGTCCTGGAGCTGTTCAGCGCCTCAGAGCCGGATGTTCGCAGCCTGGCGTCTGTTCTTCAAGGGCCCGCGCGCTGCTGCCTTCGAGCTGGGCATCAGCCGCGGCGCCTGCAGCGACCTGTTGATTCGCCGGGTGCGCCGACTGGTTCGCAGCTGGGTGCGAAGCCGCCTGATCGTCGCGATCTGGATCGCCACGCCTTGCCATTTTCTGAGCTGGGCTCGCGACAGGCCAAATGGGCCGCCGCCTTTGCGCACTAGACAGTTCCCTCTCGGTTTGCCAGCGCTCTCGCCCAGTGATCAGCTGAAAGTGTTATTTTTTCGTACTTTCAGCCCACTCGAACTCTGAACATCCCTATCGCGATTAAGAATCCAAGCGCGTCGTGGTTATTGCAGCTCCCTGGCGCTCAGCATCTCATGCTCATGCGAATTCGTAAAGCTTACGTGTTGGACTCTGGTTTCTTTGCGTTCCGCGGGCCTTGGCGCAAACGCACCAGGCTATTGTGCTGCCGCGTCAACCTCGACCCCCTTTTTCCTTGCAGGTGTTCTGGCCGAGGAGTGCGTTCCTCCAGAGAGCGTCCGCATCAAGTGCTTGAAGACAAAATTGAGCACACATCGCCGAACCATTTCCGAGCAGATGTGTCGTATTGTTGCCAGGTGTTTCCAGTAGGCTTTGCCGAACCAATTGTGCTTAAGCCTGAACAAATTTGTGGTCTAGAGGGCCAGAATTCAATAGTTCGTGTTTGCTCGAGTTTTGGCTATGGTTTCGGATCGTGTCAGGCTGCCGTCCAGCGCAATCGCCGCGTTGCTTGCCTGCGCTGTCGTCGGAGCTCCGGGCCAAGCCTCCACGCAGAGATGCGGTTGCAAAATAGAGTTTGGCCCCAAACATATCCCCGCACTTGCACAGATTGCCGCGGCGTGTTATAGTTTCTCTGCTGTGTTGTGGATCGGGTAGGGCCGTGGGCACACATGTTCAAGCCACCCGCCCACGCTTACGTTTCCAGCCTTTTTCCAGCTCGAGCAGATGTACAGGATCGTTTCTGGCTGCCGTCCAGCGCCGTCGCCGCGCTGCTTGCGTGCACAGTCCTCGGAATTCCGGACCAAGTCTTCACACAGAGTTGCGGTTGCAAAAGAAAGTTCGGGTCCAAAAGGATTTCCGCACTGGCACATATCGATGTATGCGTGCATCAATGTATATATGTATGCATGTATGTATGCATGTATGTGTGTATGTACGTGCGCATGTATGTTTGTATGTGTGTATGTGTGTGGATGCGTGATGTGATTATGTGCGCATGTGTGTATGTATACGTGTATGTGTGTATGTATGTATGTGTGTATGTCTGTATGTATCCAAGCATGCGTGCATGCGCATGTAGGTATGTATGTGTGTACACATGTCGGTATTTGTGCATGGATGTGTGCGTGTATATGACTATGGATGTGTTTATATGCACTTATAGATGTATGCACGCATGTAAGCATTTCTATATGTGTATGAGTCTGTATTTATTGATATATATATATATATAGATATATATATGGATGTGCACAGCTGCATACATGTGTATGATACCATTGTGCCGCCCTTTGCAAGTTGTGGTGTTACGATTGGGGTCACTATAGCAATGAACCCCATGCGAACATTTCCATTGTTGCTTCTATGGGGTATGAAAGACCAGCGTCTCCCAGGCGGCCGTGGAACGCACATGGGGCGCAGTGCGCCGTTCGTGGAGGCCCCCTTGCTTCTGCTTGTGAGAGGGAGGAATGCGACGACGAGGGACGAGGAAACGGAGAAAACATGGGGAATGGAGGAGGAAGAGCACGAGGAGGAGGTGGAGGAGGAGAAAGGGGGGGAGAGGTTGCTAGTAGGTCATGATTTTTCTGGATTGCTGTAGTGGGTCGTGGGTTCCGGATGTTCAGGGAGGCTTCTGACAGGTTCCTCAGGCTCTGGAGGCCCGGGCAGGCCGAACACGTCAGAAACCTTCGACACTTGACCCTCAGTCCTCGACCCTCGGTCGGCGACGGCGGCGACGACGACCGCAGGCGCTGCCCGTGGCCCCCAAGAGGGACGACTTCGCGTGGCTCAGTGTGTGCTACACGCGCGCGCGCGCCCGCGCGCCCCCCTCGCGAAGCCGCCTCGTCGTCCTTATCCGTGCCGATCTTGTGGTCGTCGTCGAGCGTCGAACCCTTAGGCTCGACGGTTTGACCAATGGCCTCCGGCCCATCCCGCCACTGTACCTTGGTTGTGATCGTTTGGCGACTCCGGGCCCTCTTGGACCGTGTTTGGGCCCTCTCTTGGAGCCCTCTTGGCCCGTCCTGGAGCCCTCTTGGCTCCGAAAAAGTGAAGCGACAAGCCGAGCCGCGACACGCCCCGGGAGATTTGGCAATTTGAGTCCCAGGCTCCTTGAATATTCCTAAGGAGAGAAGGTTGAGGCGCTTAGAGGATTGGGCAAATGACCTGAAGACGCGCCCACTCCGTGCCCAGAGACACAGTGACGGATGTTTTTGTATCTGTTTTGCCGGCTTGGGGCCTGCGGAGGCTCTAACCTATCACAGTTGGAGGCATCCAGAGACCTTTGGGAACCGCCGATTCCCCGAGCTCTAATCTCTCGAGTCGTCCCTCTCCCCTCTCCGTCTCTCTCTCTCTCTCTCTCCCCCCCTTGGTGCCTTCACCCCACCACACTTTGCACCAGCCGCTTTCCCTATGTACCCCTTTCCTTTCCCGCTTCCTCCACTGGTCGCCAGCACAACACTCATTTGCGATCCCTTCACAGTCCGCCGAAGTCTTCTCGTCTAGTCTCCGTCTCCCTGCCCCTCTGAGGATAATGAAGCGGAGACGGGGGAGCGGGATGGGGGAGCAGGATGAGGAGGGGAAGCAAGGACATCGAGTAGGAGAAGGGTGCAGTGGTCGTCGCCGACGATGACGACGCCGACGCCGACGGTGTCTCTGGCGACGACTTCCACGGCGACGACGTCAACGACGGCTGGCGGGGGCGGTGGCGCCAAGCGCGCCCGCAGTCTGCTGTTCTTTTCGGCCTCGCCGCAGACGGGGGCGCCGTGCCCCGCCGCCGCACGCCCTCGGATGGCTGCCTCCTCCAGGGTTGCCTGGAGAAGGAGGAGGAGGAGGAGGAGGAGGAGGAGGGCTCGAGCCACGCGGCGTTTGGGTGATGCTGTAGCCGTTTTCTTTTTGATTCCGTCTCGCAGCAAAGGCAGAACGCAGACAGGATGAGGGGAAACGAAAACAGCACGACAGCGAACAACATGTTTTAGCCCGAGCCCTGAGGAGGAGGAGGCACGTCGAAGTGCACCTTGCACGCCTGCGGGGTGGAGCTCACATCCACTGTCCACGGCGAGCCGGTGCACTGATAGACCTATCTCGTCTTTTTGGGCAGAGGCCATGGCCCTGGAGGAGAAGTCAGATCTTCTTCGCAGTATTTTTGTCAAACCTGCCAGCGCCACTGTGCTGCTCTACGCCTGGGAAGGAAAGAGGAAGGAGGAGAAAGGGGGGGGGGACGGGGGGGATGACGTTTAGTACGGGCTCGCCGTTCTAGATTCGATTGTGGGCCCCCGTTGGCGTGCTTGCCAGCTTGGCACGCATCGGTGAAGCCTTGCTCTCTGGATGTGTAATGTGGTGGGAGCGGTGTGGTGAAAAGCGATGTAGTGCAATGTAAGCGGATAGTAATTACAACAGCAGTGGTGACAGCACTCGTACGAAATAGTAGTCTTATTATTAGTCGTAGATGTACAGCATTCATAAAACCCTTACTTCTAGTCGTAGTCGTAGGCGGAATCGCTTTATTGAAAGTGCTCGTAGATATAGTTGTTGCTGCAGTAATAGATCTAGTGGCAGTACGAACCTCGTCTAACATAATCTGAGTACTTGAACTCGGCCTTTGCAAGAACTGCGCTGCTCCAGTGTTGACACCAAATCTTTGACACATCCTTGGCTCAAGGCTCAAGGGGGCTCAAATTGGCCCAGGCTTCTCGGAGTGGCGCTTTCTCCGCCCTTCCGTCGCGCTGGATCGCGCGCGGCTTGAGCCAGCCGCCCCTGCTCACGAGAGCGGGTAAACCGATGTGTTTCCGGTCCCTGCCCTCGCGAGCAGGCCGCAATGTCCGGGAACCGCACCCCGCCGAACTTCGAGAAAGAGTCGGGCACCGCGATCGATGACCGCTTGAACATCGTCCAGACGCGCGCCGAGGAGCGCCAACACGAGGCCCACGACGGCCAGGAGGACAACGAGCAGAAACGCGAGGAGGACCAGGCCGAGGACCCGGAGGCGGACCAGCAGGAGGACTACGACGAGGAATATGGCCAGGACGAGGCTGCGGTGATGGCGGCGGCGGGCGCGAGGACGACCGTCAAGGACTCCAGGTAGCCTGGCATGCATATTTTCGTCAAGACGCGAACGGGCAAGACCCTCAGGCTGAGCATCACGCCCCTTACCACCATCACAACTATCAAGTGCACCATCCAGGATTTGGAGGGCATCACTCCGGAGACGCAGCGCCTGATCTACCTGGCGAGGCAACTGGAGGACGAGCGGAACTTGCATTACTACAATATCCAGAAGGGCGCAACCCTGCACTTGCTCCTTCGTCTACGTGGCGGTCCTGGCCTGCAGGCCCCGCTGGAGCATCTTGGGGCTGGCGCGCACGACGCCAGGCTCAACCCCATGAGCGCCAACGTCTCGGCCCTTGCCCATGCCGACGGTGCCGCCAGCCTTCTCAGGGGGTCGCCGATCTCGGCATCGACAGATCTGACATCGGCGTCGACGAGATGGCATCCCGTCCTGACGATCCACCGCCAGCCGCAGCTGCCTCGACAGGACCTGGGGCCCTCTCTCACCTCCGCTTGCCGTTGGAAGACCTCCACCTCTTCACCGAATCGGACGCTCCAGCACTTTGACTTCGTTCGAGCTGCTGCTGCGACGGATCCGCAGGCGGCGCGAGCGGCGATGGCTCTTCCTGCACACACGCGCGATCTCAACGACATCCCGAGAAAGCAGGGATATCGGCTAGACGCGCGCATCGCCGATGCGGCTCGATGTGGAGCCCGATTTTTTCCACGCCGACGGCGCCGATGCCTCGCCGGCGTCGCCGATACATCGCTGGTGCGTCGCTGATGCATCGCCGATGCATCGCCGATGCATCGCCGATACATCGGCGATGCAGCGCGATCGTCCGACCCCGTCTACTCCGACCCCATGTAGGAAGCCTCGAGCGGTGCTCGCCTCACCGCGCTCCGATGGTGGCAGCATGATCACCCGGCGGTCGCAGGTCCTCGACCCGCGCGGGCAGCGTGCGGCTGCAGTCAGCTGGCACCGCTGCCTCGCCGACCTGCTGCAGAGAGAGGGCGCCAGCTTTCTCGACGAACAGAATGGGCAGAAGGTGATCGATTGGGCGCCGAAGGACACCTCCGCCCTCGGCCGAATACTTTCTCATTTCCAATAGCAGGACTCTGACAGCTCCCCGGTCGAGATGATCTTCCTCGCCAAAATGCTCTCTTACCTTGGGGTGGCCGCGGTATCCCAGCAGTTGGACTTATGGACTCACCCATTCTTGTGAAAAGGCATGTTGCGGTGGTCAAGGACATCAGTTTGGTGCCCCAGCCCGTCGAAATGGTGTTGCCCAGTACGCATGGCCTTCGCCATCTTCGTTCAGGCCTTGCTTGCTTCCGAGTCGCGCGCGCAGGCTCGCGGAGTCTCGTGGCGGTGGTGTTTCTTTGAACGCCATTGTCGCAAGCCTCGGGCACCTCCGGCCGCGTCGTGGACCTCCCGACGGAGCAGCTCTGCTCATTCCTGCGCGGCGTGTCGTCCACGGATTTTGGTATGATCACGGCCAGGGACCCCGTGTGGAGCATTGGCAGAAGTGCAGAGATTCCTCGGACTCGCGTCGACCTTCGTCTCCCCCGCGAAACGTCGACCATCGGCGTCGAGCTTCTGCTGCGGCTACTGGCGCGCGCAGAGGCGTCGGTCGACGCCTGGGTGGAGCTTGCGAACCGCCTCTGCCGGGACGGGGGGGCCGCGCTCATCGCCGGGCTGCGCTGGAAAGCCTGCCGCTTTGGTGGGCGACCCTTCGCGGCGCCCGCGGCCGCGACGTCCGCCTTCGCGTTGGCGCGGCGCCGCAGGGGGAAGACTGGGCGCGCGGCCCAGCTAGTCGACCTCGTCACGGAGTTTCGGGTCAACGGTGGCCCCGGGCTCCAGGACCGTCGTCTCTTCGATGGTATCATCTCGCGCGTGTGCCGACGTGCCAGCTTGCAGCTGCGCGCCTGCAGCGTCGGCGGCAACCGGCACGCCGGCTCCTGGAAGCATCTGGCTTCGCATGGCGCTTCGGCGCCGCCGTGGCGCGCCCGCCGCGTCTCGGCAGCCGCGAGGAGGTCGTGCAGGTCTGCGAGGCGCTCCGAGGCCAGATGGTTCAGGTGGGGGGCGACTGGCGGACGGTCGCTGTCCATGGCGACCGACCTGCTGGACGCGGCCTCCCTGGCGGGAAACGGGGGCCGGGTGCTCTAGAGGATCCCCGGGCGCCCGCCCCGCAGCGGGTCGCGCATGGAATTCGGATGGTTGACGCCGATGGCGCCGCTCGCTGGCTGCATGACCTCGACTTATCCTTCCTTGTCATTGCGGTCTTTTTCCTCTTCTTCCTCCTCGCGATGGTCGCCGCTCCCGCGGCTGAGGCCGCGCGCTCCTGCTATTCATCTGCATCGTCTCCAGCAGGTGCGTGACGGCGATGCAGCTGCTCTGCTCGATCGCGACGCCCCTCGTCACGTCCTGCACCAACGAGGCCGTCCAAAGGGTGATCGGGGTCGGCCCCGCCCCCCCCCCCGCCCGCCCCCTTGCGACCCGGCGGGCGGGCCCGAGAGTGCGCGAGCCCCGCGGGCCATTATGCCGGGAAGCTGCCCGCGGTCTCTTGGAGTATCCAGGCGATCTTCACCGTGGACCCCGTCCAGCAACGAGACCGCTCGCGGCGGGTGCGCCAGCTGATGGCCTCGCGCGACATCGGCTGCTGGTCGGAGACCCACAGTGCAGCTGACAACTGCAGGGCGTGGCGGAATGCGCCTGGTTGCTCGCCCCGCTGGTCTCCGGGCCCTTCTGCGGCGAGCGCCAGCGTCGGGGTCGCGCCGAAGGGCGCCTTGCCCAAGCTCTTCGACGGCGTCGTGCGCTTCGAGGTGGTCTTCCCAGGCAGCGCTGTTGTCCTTCGCCCATCGGGCTCGCGCGACTGTCTGGACATCCCCTCGGCGAATACTTCCCCGCTGGGGACTCGGCGCGCGTGGGTGGCGTGATCGAGGCAGGCTTCGATCCTTGAGGGCGCCCTACTTCGAGATGCGCGAGGCCCTTCCCAACTCCCGGCCTCGCCTCGACCGCGTGCGCTCCAACCAATGCGGCGCCGAGTGCTTGGGCAGAACCTTCTCGCGCGCCGCCCTCCACTGGCGCCCCGCCCCCCCCCGCCACCGCCCGCTCGGCGTGGGGAAGTGGCTCCCGGAGGTCGGCGGTGACGCGGAGCGGCCCGTCTGCGACCGCGCGCTGGGCCACCCGGATTGGCCGCGGCAGGCGTCGCGGGCTGGCATGCCATCCTATGCGCGACCGCCCCGGTGCCTCGGCCATCTCCGAGCTGCAGATGCTCGAGCAGGCCGCGCGTCTTGCCGAGCGGGCCCGCGCGGGTAGGGGGGGCGCCGCAGGCCGCGTCGCGTCTCCATGATGTCCCTCCGTGCTTCGGGGGCGGGCGTTCCCTGCGTCTCGCGCTGGCTGGAGCGCTGCCCGCTGCGTGGCGACTAGGCGCGAAATCTGCGCGACTTCTCCTCCCCGGCCGGCCCGCGGCTGGCTCTGTCGCGGCGTCGCATCGCGGACTCTCAACGGGATTTCGCCATGCAGGAACTCAGCGGCCTGCGCTGGGACCTTCGGGGGTTGGGCCCTGCCCGCGCGGCGCGCCAGACGCGCGGGAATCGACGTCTGGCGCGCCGCCTCGCCCCCTGTCGCAGATGCCGGCGATTTGCGATGGGCGCACCGTCCGGCGAGGCCGCCGCTGACCCCGGGGAGATGCCGCGGTTGATTCGGGACCACTGGGAACGAACGTTCTGGCGGCGCGACGCGGACGAAGGAATCGCGACGACGTGGCTGCGCGAGGATGCCCGGCATTTGCCCCTGAACTACCCGGAACGCCCCCCTCCGCGCCATTGCCCTTCGAGACAGGCCATTCTTCTCGACGGTGGCCCCCGGCGGCCCGGGCAGGATGAGGGCGGAAGGGGCGTTTTTCAATGAGGGCCTCGTGGTGGGGGTGCCCGGGGGCGTTGCCCGCGCTCCCAGGCGGCGCCGAGGTTTTTTCTCCGCGCGGCTTGCGCCCCCCAGCGTCGCCGACGCCGACGGCCGCATCTTTGGCGGTGCCGTGCGTTTGCGCATCGAGCCCGTCGCGGCCCCCGGGGCCTCGCTGGCGCGGCGGGGCGGCGCGGGCCCCCGAGCGGCCGCCCCATGATCGCCAACGTACTATGGACGTCGAAGATGGCATGCTGGACGGCGCCGCATCTCAGGGCAACCCGGTGGTTGCGTCGTTGGACTTCGAGGCGGCCTTCCCCAGCGTCGGCCTGGAATTCATCCGGCGCGATTTGGAAACAGTAGGGGGTGGCCCCAGTGGGTGCGGCAGTGTGTGTCCGTCTTGCGCGGCGACAACTTCTGCGTCCGCCTTCTCCGCGGCGCCGCGGGCCAAAGGATTCGGGGCCGCCGCAAGGGGCTGGACAAAGATGCCCAATCTCGCCGCTCCTGCTTTTAATCGTTTCCGACGCCGTGATCCGCCAGGCTCGCCGCCCGGCGAAAGGGGGTTCTGATCGGGGCCGACGCGGGCGACGTCGCACCCGTCTTGACTCATATGGCACTGGCTGGGCAGTTGGAGATTATTTCTGGCGAGCGCGAATTCGCGTCGCGCTTGAGATTCCGCGCCAAGAAATCAGCGATCGCACCGTTGTTCCCGCGGGGGCCCGGCGAGATCTGGGCCGCCATCGCCGCGGAGGCTCGTGCTTGGGGCGCCTTCGGCATCGCTGGACACGCGGCCTCCTTTCCGCCCCGCCATGGGCGCGCTGGCCGGGGGCGGCCTTGTCCGCGAGACGCGCGAGAGGGCGAGGGCGCGGGAAAAGGGGTCGGAGGCGGCATGTTCGTCGAATTGACTGCGCCGCGCATGCAAATGTTCCCGTCGGCGGGTTTCCTTTCGCAGCAGAGGGGGGCGCCGCCGGCCCTGGAAGCGGGAGGAGCTGCGGCTGGTTGTTTTTGGCAGAGGACGCGCAGCCAGCTCCTGAGGAGGCTGGCCGCTTTTGATGTTCATCGTCATTTTCGACGTCGGCTGGATCGGTGGTGTCTTCCCGTTCGTCTTGGCCGTCGTGTCCAGCGGCTTGAAATCGTACTCCGGCGTCTTGGACCAGTGGTGTGTCCATGCGCGTGGGCAGCTGTTCTCAAGGCAGCTCTGGGCGGTTGGGCGCGTGCTGTCCCCGGTCTCCGCGCGGCGCGTTGCTGCCCTGGCTGCGGGGCGGGCGATGGTGCGGCTGGCGGGGGGCCGATTCCGACTGGCGCTGGTCCTCGCCGAGGACCGGTTTCGCGGTTTTCTTCTTATGAGTGGTCTGCGTGATACTTCGCAGATGGCGCTTCGTGCCTTGCGTCTGCATGCGACATTCACGGCTATCAATGCCGCCCGGCATGAGCAAGCGACAGTCGCGAGTGATGTGCGGGTTCAAGCCATGACAGACGCGGCGGGCAGGGGCCCGCCGCTCCGCCGCATGGTCGCCGCCATTTGGAGCCTTTCCTCCCGTTCGTCTTGACCTTCGCGTTCCTCTCCTGCATCTTTCTTTACTACTGCATGATGTTCAACACCTTCGCACGGGCTACTTGCTGGCCTCCGTCTACGCCGTGGCTTGGGGTCTTTGCCGCGTTCGTGTTCTGAGTCTCGCATTCGTTTTTGCCTTGTCTTGGGCGTCTCGTGTGCCTGCAGTGCTTCTCTGCCCCCTCCTCCTCCTCCTCTTCCTCCTCCTCCTCCTCCCAGCCCCCCCCCGTCTCCGGTGATGCGATTTAGGGTGAATTCGTATCCGCGTGCGTCTTACTTGCCGTTATTCTCTTGCACAGGGTGTCTAGAGCTCCGACCGTTTTATTTTTCGCGACGCACCCTCCGCCCCGACGACTTAATTTTTCGCGACGCACCCCTCCCCCCCCCAGTGGGACCTCCCCAGCGCCCCCCAGTGGTCCCCGGCGCCCCCCAGTCGGGCCCCCCCAGCCGCGCCCAGTGCCCCCTCCGCCCCGACGATTTTATCTTTCGCGACGCACCCCCCCCCCCCCAGTGGGACCTCCCCAGCGCCCCCGAGTGGCCCCCAGCGCCCCCCAGTGGGGCCTCCCCAGCCGCGCCCAGTGCCCCCTCCGCCCCGACGATTTAATTTTTCG